CTGCATGTAAAGACCCAGAGACTTTTTATTATGAAAGTTTGGCCTTAGCTTAGACTTGTTCCTAACTACCCTTTATAACTTAAATTAACCCGTATTTTTTTTTTTATTCTACATTCTTCCACGAGGTTCATTACCTCATTTCCTCACTGTCCATCCTGTTTCCTCTGTGTCTGGCTGGTAGCTCTGCCTTTCATTTTCCCAGAGTCCTCTCTGTCCCTAGAAGTCCTGGCTAACCTCTTCTTAACTAGCTATTGGCCATTCAGCTCTTTATTAAACCAATCAGAAGGCACATCTTCACAGTGTAAACAAATATTCTGAAACATTTCTGGTTTTTTCTAAATAAAAAGGAAAGTTATCTCTAACACAATAAAACTATATACAATAAGAATCAGGTACGAATTACATTCACAACATCGAGTTTATTTGTATCTGGCAAATCCAGAGAAACTACTCTATTATCTATCTTATCTTGGTAAATTCAAAGTCTTGTACCTGATTTACTTCCTTTTATAACTATGGAAAACTGTAACTATAACTATCTAATCCTCAACCACTGAAAGGATATAATATTACCTGAAAAAACAGGAAGTACAGAGAAAGCAACTTCTAAACCTAAGAAACAACAGAAATACCTAGCTGCTTGGACAGTCAACCCAAGGTTCCTCTGTAACTTTGGGGCATCCATCTTTGGCCTATGGGCCTAGAACATCTGACAGACTTTTCTATGAAGCAGACTATCCTACCTTATCTTGGCAAAGTTCAGCAGTCACCTTCTTTTGCGCCCTGCTTATCCAATTTGGACAGTATACATATCAGCAATCAAGGCAAGGGCAATTTCTTGCCCAGTGGCTATCTTTGCCACAGTAAAAGTAAACTCCACATGAAGGTTCTTCAGTGTCCATCATTCTTTAATGAAGTAGATTGGTGTTGCCAGGAGCAGATATGTCTCATTGTCATGAAAAGCCTTATGTTATCAAAACATTTTTAAATGTCATAATCTGTACATCTTTGAGGTGTTTGAAGACCATCTACCTATTTGAAATATTTCTCTGATTGACCTTGAAAACATACCTAACATGACCATTAACTTGATTGTATAGATGACTAACTACTATCCTGTATATCTTTTATTATCCTAAATAGTTTTTAAGGACTAGAACTTTATGTTACATTTTTTTTTTTGGTTTTTTGAGACAGAGTTTCTCTATGTAACATCCCTTGCTGTCCTGGAACTTGCTCTGTAGACCAGGCTGGCCTCAAACTCACAGAGATCTGCCTCTCAAGTCCTGGGATTAAAGGCATGTGTCACCACTGCCTGCTTTTTATGTTACATGTATAAATGAGCTACATAGGTTCAATACATTAAACAAGTGTAGGAACATGAATTTGTATCAACATACAAAACTCCATAGCAATATTTGAGATTAATGTTCCTTCCCCACTTTTTCAAGAAAAAAATCTCTTAATCTAACCTACTTTGTTTAGTTTTTTCCCTGAGCATGACAAGTAACACCTTGCAGAAAAGTCCCCTAAATAATGACACACATCCATAGCCCACCCAACAACCAAAAATCGCCCACCCCACCTCTTGAGAATGGGAGTGTCATGTTCTCTAGACTGCTTCCTGTTGTCTGGGGGTGATGGCATCTTTAGGACACCCTGAGAAAATTTGGATAATGGTCAAGTCCTGAAAGAGCTAGCTGTATAATTTTTATTTTGTCTCTGTGTGATGGGAAAGTGTAGATAGAACTTATTTGAAGTCCCAGCTGGAGTAGTCTGTGATGCTGGACCATCTCAGCTAGCAGCTGAGATCTGGTTGTTCTGGATGCAGAACTTTGTAACAGAACTGTAACAGAAGCATTCGGAGAGCCTGAATCACCAGGGCTACTTGTCTTCATTGGTATCTGGTCTTTTTGTTCTGAAAACACACAAACTTTTAAAGGTAACATACATATCTGCATTAATATAAGTATGGAATGTGCGGTGTGTACAAGTCAGCTAAAGATTATTTTTTTATTTTATGTGTGAGCAGGTAAAAAAGCATTTGTCAACTTTATAAGTGCATTTGGACTATATAACCAAATTGCTATAGAAATATCTGTCTATATGAAAGTATGGCATGTAATAATGAGTCTTGAGGACTCTGTAGCCAACAAGATATATCATGTCTCATCCAGTCCCAGAGCTGTTCCATGACAAGGGATCAGCATATATGTCATCTGTCCTGTAGTCTTTCCTGGCTTCCTCTGGCATGTCTACAGCCAAGATCCTCAGGAGGTCTCCCACATCAAACCTGATCATTATAATTTTGAAGACGTTTAGGCTTTGCATTTCCTGTGGAAACAAAGCACAACCTCTCCCACAATGCAACACATTTCCTAGCTTTCATTATAAAGCCAAGACATCCCTAAAGTATATAGGCTGGTTTAATTTAGCAGTCTCTTTCAGAATCCAGTGTCTCTCAGCAGCAGCCATTCTCTGTTAATTAGCCTTTTAAAAAATCAAAATTATCAAAGCACCATATAAGGTACAAACTCCCTTATTATAATGTTTCCCATTCTTAAGTGGCTAATTTTTAATATTATTGATTTTTATTGAGCTGTATATTTTTTTCTACTCTCCTCCCTGCCTCTCTTCTGCCCTGCAACCCTCTCCAAGGTCCCCATGCTCCCAATTTACTCAGGAGATCTTGTCTTTTTCTACTTCCCATGTAGATTAGATCCATTTATGTCTCTCTTGGGGGTCCTCATTGTTGTCTAGGTTCTCTGGGATTGTGATTTGTAGGATGGTTTCCTTTGCTTTATGTCTAAAAGCCACTTATGAGTGAGTACATATTATATTTGTCTTTCTGGGTGTTGGTTACCTCACTCACAATGCTGTTTTCTAGCTCCATCCATTTGCCTGTAAAATTCAAGCTGTTGTTATTTTTTTCTGCTATGTAGTACTCTATTATGTAAATGTACCATATTTTCCTTATCTATTCTTCAGTCGAGGGGCATTTAGGTTGTTTCCTGGTTCTGGCTATGACAAACAAAGCTGCTATGAACATAGTTGAGCACATGTCCTTGTGACACAATTGAGCATCCTTTGGATGTATACTCACAAGTGGTATTACTGGGTCCTGAGGAAGGTTGTTTCCTAACTTTCTGAGAAATCACCACAATGACATCCAAAGGGGCTGTACCAGCTTGAACTCCCACCAGCAATGCAGGAGTGTTCCCTTTACTTATCTTAGGTTTGTTCCTAACTACTTCTTATAACTTAAATTAAATAATATTTTTAAATCTGTGTTCTTCCACAAGATTACCTCATCTTCTTACTGTTCATCCTGCTTCCTCCATTATCTGGCTGGCGACTCTGCCTTTATTCTTTCCAGAGTCCTCTCTGTCACTGGAAGTCCTGCCTAACCTCTTCCTGCCTAGCTATTAGCCATTCAGCTCTTTATTAAAATAATCATGAGGCACCTTGGCAAAGACATATCTTCACAGTGCAAACAAATACTCCACAACAAACAAGACTTGAAAATTATTTATAGATTTGCCAAGATAACAATTTTAGTTAGAAAAATAATTGGGGGCCAAGGAAGTTATACAACAGACTTGTCAAACAGGTTTATCTAACCTTGATAGTGCTACATAACCTTTGCCAATTATTAAGTTCATGCTTGAAGACCATGTAATTGAGTTTAAAAGAAGTGAGATAGTGTTGGTACACACCTTTAATCCCAGCACTCAGGAGGCAGAGGTAGATGGATATCTGTGAGTTCAAGGCTTACCTGGTCTACAGAGCAAGTTCCAGGACCACAGAGAAACCTATCTCAAATAAACAAACAAAAAAACATAAAGAAAGAAAAGAAAAAAAAACAGAGGAGGGTTGGGTGGTGGTGGCGTATGCCTTTATTCCCAACACTTGGGAAGTAGAGGCAGGCAGATCTCTTGAGTTTGAGGCCAAAAATTTTATCAATTTCTATTCTTGCAGATTGGTGTCTTCTCTGAATTCCAAACAATCACTGGTTATATTTCTCAGTTAACCTGTATATACAATATTTTGTTGTTTTTATTGTTTCTCTAGTTTACATGTTGTTCTATCCCTCCAAAATTAATAGTCAGCCTCTCAAAGTTAGGTACTATGTATTATACCTGCTTGTACTTACATTGCTTAAAATAATGACCCATATGTAGTATGCTCCTTGTAAATGAATAATGTTGAAGAACACATTCAAGTTATTTTCAGTATTCTTAGTAAATTCACCAACTCACCTCTGTTCTCTTTTAACCATATACACTGAGAAATTTTCAGTTTAACTGTGTGTGCATATACATTCATTGCTTTTCTCTGAATGTCTTCCATTCCTCTTGATAGCCTTCATTCTTCTCACCCTCATATAAAAACTGTATGGCGTTTCCCAGAAATGTTGTAATATGATGAAGAAGAAATTAGTGGGCAACCTAATCTAAAATCTAGGTAGTCAGTTCTTAAATAATTAAAATGTGGTGCTGTATGAATAGCCAATTTATGTTGTTAGAAATTTATTCTGTAACTGCATCTTCTAAAGTGAGTGACTTAGAAATCCTATTAAAGGAAATAGAGGGTCTAATCCCCATCTAAGAGGAGAGGAAAGGGCACATCCAAGTGAGAGACCAAGTGTGGTCACATGTGCCTGCAATTCTATCACGTTATAGACTGAGGCAGGAGGATGACAAGTTTAATACTAGCCTCAGTTGGGCCAGGCAGTGGTGGAGCACACCTTTATTCCCAGCACTTAGGAGACGGAGGCAGGAAGATCTCTGTGAGTTCAAGGTCACCTGGTCTAGAAAGTGAGTTCCAGGACAGCTAGGATATACAGAGAACTATGACATACAGAGAAACTATGTCTTGAGGAAAAAAAAAATTACCCTAGGTTGCATATTGAGATCCTGTTTCAAGGAGAGAATGGGAAGTAAGGAGGATATGGTGGGCAAACTAGAATTCCTCTGCATGCATTTCTGTTCATTAGCTGAAGAAGCCACAGAGGGCCTGATGAATCTGAGTCCTTCTGCCATGAAGAACCTCCTGCACCACATCCTCAGTGGCAAAGAGTTTGGAGTGGAACGAAGTGGTAAGACCCAAGCGCTGAATTTACACTTCAGGGTACTTCATTTTAATTTTCCATTTTAGGATGTTTTCCTTCTAACAGAGGGTATCTTGGCTCCCAAATAAATAAAACTTAAATGGATAAAACATTTAAAAGCAAAGCTATCTTTTGGAACAAGATTTGCAAACTAAAAGACAAATTCAATTTAAGAAAAGATTTTGGACTGGGGAAATGGCTCAATGGGTAAAGTGCTTGCCACACACACTTGATGATCTGAGTTTGGATCTATCACTTCTCCAAAAGCTGGGCTCAGTAGCTTGTGTCTGTAATCCTAGCTCACCCTTATCCTAGTCTGCCTATAGCAGTGTGGTAAACACCATGACCAAAAGCAACTTGCAGAAGAATACGTTTATTTGGCTTCCATGCACTTCAGGAACTGAAGTGGAGGCCATGGAGGAATGATACTCACTGACTTGCTCCTCATGGCTCACTTAGTCAGTTCTTTATACCACCTTTCCACAATATCCTGGGCCTTCTTACATCACTAATCAGGAAAATGCCCAATAGACAGTCTGTTGAAAGCATTATTTCAATTGAGGTTCCCTCCTCTCAGATGACTCCAGTTTCTGTTAAATTAACAAAACAAAGCTAACCAGGGGAGATGGGAGGCAGAGACAGGAGAATCTCAGAAGCTTGTGGCCAGCTAGCCTGGCATATGTATCATTGAATAGGAGAGGCTCTGTCTGAAACAAGGTTGAAGTCAGGGTCCAACACTTAAGGTTCTACTCTGCCCTCCACATGCACACCATGAGCAACATGTTTGCGCTCTCTCTCTCTCTCTCTCTCTCTCTCTCTCTCTCTCTCTCTCTCTCTCTCGCTCTCTCTCTCTCTCTCTCTCTCTCTCACACACACACACACACACACACACACACACTTTTTACAGAAGATTTGGAAATACAAGCATATGTGTAACTTCTTTTTCCTTAAATGATATGACAACTAAGTAAACTAATAGCTGTCATGTTTCATTAAAATTTTTATTTGCGCTTGCTTATTTATTGTCTGTCTGTGTGTATTGGGGGAGGGGTGCCACAGCACATGTATGGAGGCCAGAGGACAACTTGCAGGAGTCGGTTCTCTCCTTCCACCATGTATGTCCCACGAATTGAACTCAGGTCATCAGACTTTGTAGCGAGTGCTTGCACCTGCTGGGCCATCCCTCGTGTTTCTTTTTAACTATGTATTAAATTACCTTTCATTATCGTAAGTCAGGAAGACAACTAAAAATCCATTCTTAATCTTTTTTATATTCAAATTGGCAGTAATTCAGTAAAACTGATAATGTACGTGTATGTTTGCAGTCGCAACATATCCACTATATCCTTTCAACCTTAAATTCTAATATCTCTAAGAGTCTTTTACAAGCTAATCTTCATATGCACTTTTTACATTTTTATTAACAGGTTTTAATTTTATATATCACTGAGGGTACAAGCTTTGCTTTAGTACATGCTGTAGGTACTAAATCAAAACCAGTGTGTACTTTGGGTTTTTGAAGCATTATTCTTTTAAAGAAGGATAACAAGAACCTAACAAAGTTTTTTTTTTAAAAAAAAAGGATTATCATTTTTGGTTGTGAGCCTAGCCTTTAACGGCTGAGCCATAAACCGGGCGGTGGTGGTGCACGCCTTTAATCCCAGCACTCAGGAGGCAGAGGCAGGCGGATCTCTGTGAGTCGAGACCAGCCTGGTCTATAGAGCTAGTTCCAGGACAGGCTCCAAAGCCACAGAGAAACCCTGTCTCAAAAAACCAAAAACAAACAAACAAAAAAAAAAAGGATTATCATCTCCTATATTTAATCATTAATGTTGAGTTATTTTTTCAAGACAGGATGGCCAGACTTCAGCATGTTTTGTTTTTGAAGTCTGTTGTGTCCTTGCATGGCTACCAGGGACATATCTGACTGGGGTGATGAGGTAGTGAAGAAAAGACAAATATGTACAGACACACAGACACAGAAAAGCCGAAAGCAGTGGATTGGACTCTGACGGAGAAACCACAGCATCCCCAAAGCTCATTATATTTACTATATACAGTTGAATCGAGAGGTGTGGTTATTGCATACAACTGAACAAGGAGGCGGGTCTAGCTAAATCTCCATAGGAACAGTCTTAAGGCTGTAAACATCTGGGAAAAAAAAAACTAAGGTGGACATTTTCTGCAAACACTATCGATAGTCACATTCAGATCACCAAGGAGGACTTTTCTGTCCCTCTAAACCTCACCTGGGGAATGCTTTAACACTTCACACCCATGGGGCTAAGGTATTGAAATACTTGCCATGCCAGTGTCAACAGCACACGTTCACTTAGGAGTTCCTCCACTCGCCACAAAAGTTAGAAAGTATAGGAGCTGAAGAGACAGCACAGTGGCTACAAGTACTTACTGCTCATCTAGAGGATCCAAGTTCAGTTCCCAACACTTGTGTACAGCAGCTCACAGCTGCCTTTAACTCCAGCCACGGAATCCAACTCCCTCTTCTGCACATATGTGGCATACATTTATGTATATACATGCATGTGCATGCGTGCACACACACAAATACAACACACAAATAAGAATAATGAAAATAAAATTTTTAAGTTAGAAAATAATATTCCTCAGGCAGGAAGTATTTCTAAAATGCAGACTCTGAATTAGTAGGCCGGATATGGGACCTGTGGTGCTAATGGTACTGGTCCAAGAACTACACTGAAACAGCAAGGTTGCACTAGGATTTTTTAGGTTAAAAACAAAAGAAAGATGCACATGTAAGTCTTTTTAACATGGCAGAGAAAATTAGACAGGTTCTTTTTTATCTCTCATTCTGTACAGTTCGTCCCATTGATTCAAATGTGAGTCCTGCTATTTCCATCCATGAGATCGGTGCTGTTGGAGCAACAAAAACAGAACGAACTGGAATCATGCAGTTAAAAAGTGAGATAAAGCAGGTAATATATAACCTGAAAAAATATTGATGTAATCATAATTAATAATATTCTTAGCTGGGTGTGATGGTGCATGCCTATAACCCCACATGCAGGGCATAGAAGTTGGAGGAGCAAGAGGTCAAGGTGCGACAGCCTCAGCTAGAAAGCAAGATGGAGGCCTGTCCAGAATCCTGGAGAGGCTGTCCAAAAACAAAATCAAAACCAAAACATTATTTTAGAATCAAACTTTGTTAGAATAATTTATTTAGTTTCATATCCTCGGTGTAACTTGAACCATTTATTTTTCAGGTGGAATTTCGTAGACTGTCTGTCTCTACTGAGAGTCAGGTGAAACGACAAAGACTTTTTAAACATATTTCAAGCAGCCTTCAATTCCATATAGCATGCATGATTATGAGCTTTCCACAAGTAATAACAAGCCATGGAATCTCCCTCATAGCTACTATTTCTAGATAGCTTTCCCCTTTTTCTGGATCAAATGACTTAATTTTTGGAGGAATTGTCGCTGGCAACAGATAACAAGAAACCCTGGGTTCCCTTATTACAAGTAATGTGTAATTTATAATGTATTTTCTTTATAAAAGTGATAGACTTCCTGCTTTTAAGAATAGCTAGTTGGAGAAATAGATCAGCAATTAGGAGCACTGGTTGCTCTTGCAGAGAACCTGGTTTTCTTTCTTAGCACCCACATACTGGCTCGCAACAGTCTGTAACTCCAGTTCCAGGAGTTTTGGTGCTGTCTTCCACTGCATGCACATGGTACACAAATGTATATACAGACAAAATACTCATATGCATAAAACACAAATAAATCTTTTTAAAAATGGGGGCCAGAAAGATGTCTTAGTGGGTAAGAATACTTGCTGCCAGGTTCAGTTCTCAGTACATCCATGGTGGCTCACACCTGTCATTAACTGTAGTTCAAAATATCAGGTGTCCTCTTCTGGCTCTATAGGCATCAGGAACACATAATACTACAATATGTACATGCAGGTAAAACATGCATACACATAAATTTTAAAAATATATTAGTTACAGGTGGTGCACGCCTTTACCCCAAGTAGTCAGGAGGCAGAGGCAGGTGAATCTCTTGAGTTCAAGGCCAGTCTGGCCTACAAAGAGAGAGTTCCAGGACAGCCTGGGCTACACAGAGAAACAATGTCTCAAAAAAAAAGGTACTAGAGAGGATACCAGATTAGATGAAGGCTTTGTTTTTAATCTCTTTTGGCGGGGTTAACATGTGCAAAGCCCTGGGTTTCATCCCAAACACCATAAAAATAAATGACAGGATGGTTTTATGAGATTTTAACACAAAATAGGCTTTCTAACTACTATAGGAGAGAACCATTAAATGATACATACATATGAAGAGGAGGAACAGCTGCACAGGACTAGGAATCAATAGGAGTCACCAAACGATATGGCCTTTCACTGTAGGAAACACTGAATGACTTAGTGCATTAGTCAAAGAAATACCTAATAGCTTTTAAAATTCTGGGAAATCATAGTATTTTAAGATGTCCAAGTTGAGAAGGTGCTAATTTAATCCCTTCTAGTAGCGCTACTTTTTTACCATTTGAGAATTTTGCACGTGCATATAGTAAGTACATTTGATCAAGTCTGATCCTCAGTCCTTCCCTTCCACCTTCTCCATGTGCCCCTCCACTCTCCTCTCACAACTTCATGTACTATGTTTTTCAAACCCATTGAGTCCACTGAGTACTGCTAGTGGGGCGGGGGGTTGTATGGCTGTCTACTGAAGCATGAGCAGCCTTTTAGGGGCCCCATCCATAAAGGGAACTGATGTTTCTTCCCCCAGCAGCCATCAACTCCCGATAGCCCATCTGAGAGTGGAGTTTCTGAGCCCCTCCCTTTCCACGCTTAGATTTTGGCAGACTTGATTTTATGCATGGTATGAGTTCATGTGTGCAACAGCTGTGCCAGTTCTGGAAAGCACTGTTCCACGGTGTTCTTTAATCTTTCCACTCTCTCTTCTGCAGTGATCCCTGAGTCTTGAGAGTGTATATATAATATAGATGTCCCATTCAGGGCTGAGCACTCCACAGTCTCTTATTCTCTTCATGAGACCCAGATGTGGGTCTCTATATTAACCACCACCTACTGTAAAAAGAAGCTTCTTGCACTAATCTTGGAATGAACATGAGCACTTAGGGGGTAGTCTGATGCTATGTCCATTTAGACGGATGACGGTAGTAAGTTCTCTCCTAGGGCCTATGACCTAAAGACTATACTTGCAGAGATTATTTCTGTACTTATTAATAGCACTTCTTAAGAAAGACTTAAAACCCCTTCTGCTTTCAAAGTGGAATTATAGCAGCCTACACATTAAAAATATCCTGGATAGAAGAGGCAAAACAGATATTTTGTTTCTTTTAAAAGGGGGCCCTGAAGTCATTCAGGAGAATATGCCAGTGCTTGAAGCCTACTTTTGAAGAAAACTTGAGTACTTTTCTTAAATATCCTCTGGCGTTCATATTTTATACAAGGAACGATTGTAATAAGAAGATGGTCTGGAGAGATGGCTCAGTAGTTAGGAGCACTGGCTGCTCATCCAGAGAACCTGGGTTCAATTCCCAACACCCATATAGTATCTTACAGTCTGTTACTCCAGCCTCCGAGAAGCTGGCACCTTTTTCTGGCCTCTATGGGCACTGTATGCATGTGGTACACAGACATACATGTATGTGAAATACATTCATACTCATAAAATAAAAATATCAAAAATAGCTTAAAAGAAAAAAGGAGCTACTCTGTTTTTAACAAGTGTTCATGTTACAGTTTTTGCCAGGAAATTTTAATTACCTGAATTTTTTCCTATTTGAGAGTGGAAAGGTCAGCTTTAGTGCTGAAAAGTTCTTCATCGATGTGATTAGTTAGTGATCCTAGTTTGGGTTGACAGTGACAATAGTTTGGGGGTTTGTTTTGTTTTCTTGTGACAAGGTCTCTCTATGTAGCCTGGCTGTCCTGGAATAAACTCTGTAGACCAGGCTGGCTTCCTACCTCTGCCTCCAAAGTTTTAGAATTAAGGGCATGTAACATCACACCCAGCTCACATTATAGTTTTTATAGATGTCCAGTATTATTATAAATTCTTTATGTGATTGGAACTCAAAAGTCCGTGATGCCAGCTAGATGAAAATGATGGTAAACTTGACCTTTCCAGCTACTTGAGGGTTTTCTCCTACATATTTACTACCTATAGGCCTTCAAAGGGGCCCAAATTGTTAGGGCGATAATATAGAGGACAGAGAGACTAGATTGTCATTACTTTCTTATTTTATAGCATTGTTTTTCATCCTTACCTGCCCATCTGGTATTTTGTATTTTTTTTTCTGCCAATTCCCAGTACTCTTAATTTATAGGTGAAGATATTTCAGGGTAGTTTTTACTTATTTTATTCTTTGCCATGGCATTTGAAGTAAACATATTTTATTGGCTCTTTTATAACATGCTGGATAATTACTTAAATTGTCTGTAGTTTAATAATATTAATAATTTTTTAAACAAATAATTATTGCCTTGCCTCTCTCTTTAAATTTTTTATTTTCTCAATTTCTTTTATAGACCAGTGGTGGTCATCCCTCTGGTGTAGATTTGATGTCACCGTCCTTTCTGGTAACTAATCTTTTGTTATGTCATGTTACATCCACAAGTGCTTTGATATGCTGTTATATGGATCATAAGAAAGTATTTGAGTATATACAAAAAAACAAATTAGGGACTGAAGGAATGGCTCAGTGGTTAAGAACACATGTTGCTCTTGCAGAAGTCCTGGGTTCCATTCTCAGAACCCCATGGTGGTTCACAGCCATCTTTAACTTTCAGGTACTCCTGTGGTATGATTCATACACATAAAATAAATCTAAAACTAAAAAATCAATAATTGAAAACAAATTGATCTTGAACTAACATGACTATAGATCAATTCCATATAAAAGGGAGCAGTCTATTTCTTTCCTGATAAGGTAGGAAAGGGAGTTCAACTCCAACCTCTTTTTTATTTCAGAAAAATAATCAATTAAAAAGTTTTGTTATGTATATATTCATTCTTTGAACTGATGAAAGTGTGCATCAGACAGTGGACTAGACAACATCAACATCAGTTTGTAATGTATTTGAAAAAACCCTGTCTCAAAACGATGTGCTAGACTTTGTTGACTCCCATGGGAAGCCTTACCCTCTCTGAGGAGTGGATGGGGGGGGCGTGGAGGGAAGGTGGAAGAGCTGGAGGAGAGGAGAGAGTGGGAACTGGGATTGGTATATAAAATGAGAAAAGATTGTTTTATTAAAAATAATTAATTTTCAAAAAAGAAAGTAAAACCAAATTTTGGTCTGTATCCTAGTGATAGTGAACTAGAAAGACTGGGCTAAGCCCCAGCAGTCTGTTCTAATCCGCTCTTTAGGGGTCCTGATGCACTTTTAAATTTCAAAGTTACTCTAAGAAGTAATTTACTTAGTAAATGTGAACTAAATGCCAACTTTATGTCATACACTGGAGATATAGCATTGAACAAAATGGAAATGACTCGACGAAGCGCACAATTTAGGAAGATTCTTTTCTAAACAAATTTTTTGATTTTTGTTTTTTCTACTTTATTAGAACATAAGCTATGAAATAATGAATTTGATTATGACATTTTCTTGTACATATAAGGTACTTTTATCATCTACATTTGTCTGGTTTAAATTATAACAAGTTATGATTTAATTTCTCCCAAACTGAAGAAATTTAGAAGAGATCTATTGAAAATACTATTTTGAGTAACTTTAAGCAAATACCCAGCATTAAATAAGGAGGAGTTTGCCAGCTCTGTGATTTCCATGTTAATGATGACAGCATTAATGGATTTGGAAATTTAAAAAGAGAAGTTATTTTCTTGGAAAGTATTTCTATAATCCTTTATTTTGTGTTTATTTCTGAATCTAATCTGTCAAATAATCACTTTAACCAATGAATTTCCTCTTTTATTTAGCATAATTTTTCAGGGTTCTTTATATTGTTATAAATATTGCTATTTTATTCATTTTTATTGCAGAATGATAATCATTGTATTGTTACACCACATTCTCTTTATCTGTTTGCTCATCAGTTGATGGGTATCTGAATGGTTTTATGCACAGTGTTGCTATTAACCTTTATGTACAGATTTTTAGGTAGGTATGTGTCTTAGGGTATTTATTGCTGTGATAAAACACCATGCCCAAAAGCGATTTAGAGAGGATTATTTAAATTTGCATCACAATTCAATCACAGTCCTTCCTTGAGGGAAGTTAGGGCAAGATTTCAAACACAGCAGGCACCTGGAAGCAGAAGCTGCTGTAGAGGCCAGGGAAGAAAGAGCACTGCTTACTGGCTTTCTTCCCATGGAGTGTTCACCCTGCTTTCTTACATAGTTGAGGACCACCTGCCCAGGGCTCGCACCACCCCCAATGGGCTGGGCCCTCCCTCAATCCCTAATTAAGAAAATGCATTATAGGCTTTCCTATAGCCTAATTTTTTTTTTTTTTTTTTGGTTTTTCGAGACAGGGTTTCTCTGTGGCTTTGGAGCCTGTCCTGGAACTAGCTCTGTAGACCAGGCTGGTCTCGAACTCACAGAGATCCGCCTGCCTCTGCCTCCCGAGTGCTGGGATTAAAGGCGTGCGCCACCATCGCCCGGCTCCTATAGCCTAATTTTATGAAAGCATTTTTTTAATTAAGGCTCCTTCCTGAATGACTCTATCTTGTGTTGAGTTGACACAAAATTAACCAAATCTGTGTATTTTCATTTCTCTCAGAGTATAGTTATGTTTCCTGTCGCTGTGAAAAAAAAATACCTAACAAAAGTACTTACATTCACATATATACATATATAAACACTAATGGATAGATAGGATAGACGCATATAAGAGAGGACATGCAGCATTTGTATTTCTGAGTTTGGGTTACCTCAATAATTTCCAGTCATATATATTTCCTACAAATTTTCATAATTCATTTTTCTTTGCAGTAAAGTTCCATTGTGTGTATGTTCCATTTTCATTATTCACTCATCCCGTTACCCTGCTGTGGTGGCTAGACTAGCAATAAACATGACTGTACAAGTTTATGGTGGGATGTAGAATCCTTTGGTTAGATGCTCAGAAATGGTATAGCTGTGTTAAATGGCAGTTGTCTTTTGTCATCTTTTGAGAAGCTGCCACAAGGATTTCCAAAGTACCTACAGTCAATAAAGGCTCCCCTTCCCCCACCAGATCCTTGCCAGAATTTATTTATTTATTTATTCATTCGTTCGAACATTTTTTTTTTTTTGAGACAGGGTTTGTCTGTATATTCCTGGCTGCCCTCACTTTATAAACCAGATTAGCCTCGAACTCACAGAGATCCACCTACCTCTACCTCTCCAGTGCTAGGATTGAAGGTGTGCGCCACCACCATCATCAGACTCTGTTTTCTTAATGATAGTCAATTAGCCAGTGACTCAGAATGTCAAAGTAGTTTTAATTTGCATTTCCCTGATTCCTTAACCATTTTAAATTGGGCTTTTTACATTTTTGGGTTACAAGGATTCTTTTTATATTCTAAATGCAGCATCCTTATAGAATATGTGATTTGCATATATTTTCTCTTTCTGTGGATTTCCTTTACATTTCTATTTATGTTCTTTGAAGAACTAAAGTCTTCTGTTTTAACTTCCATTTTCTATTTTTTCTTATGTCATTCACATCTAAGAAATTGTTGTCTAAATCAATGCCACAAAAATTTAATGCTGTTTTGGACTATACACTATATTTTAACAATTTTATTAAAATAGCTTTAGCCCTTACATTTGGGGCTATGATTGTATTAGGAGGGGGAACTCCCTAAGACCATCTCCAGCCTCAGTAATTTACTAGGAGTCACAGAATTAATCACATAATCATAAAGGTATGATTAGTACATCAAAAGGATAAGCAAAATCAGCAAAAGAAAAGGTACACTGGGTGAAGCCCATGGAAAACCACACAAGATTCTAGAGCGCTCCCACAGCAGAGCCATAGAGGATGCATTACAACCCCTCCAGTGCCCTGTCACAGCGTAAGTGCAGTGCTGTGAGCAGAATAGCTAAAGACCCAGCGCAGAACCCAGGCTCTTTGTTTGGGACTGGTCATGAAAACAGCCTCTGTCCGGCATATCCCCAAACTCCAGACTCCCAGGAGGAAAGCAGATGTTGGACATAAACTGCAGTGTTGACATAATCCCTCCCAAAGGCCACATTTCCACACTGCAGCCCAAGTGCCAGACCTGTAAAAATGACTTGCCAGAACAACATTCCTGTGTTCTGGTCTGCCTTGTTGACTCTATTTTTAACCACTCTCAAGGGCAGGCCCCATGGCAACATAAATGTACTCCATGAATTTTTTGGTTTTGAGTTTTTGGTGTTTTATTTTTCTGTAGATGTAATGTTTTGTTTGGTGTGGGGATTTTGTCTTACTCGCCTTTTGCTTGTTTTGATTTTCCTTTTTGTGGTTTTATTTGTCTCAGGGCTCTTTGTCTTTTTTCCCCCAAACAATTCCTTTGGGCTCTCATATTTGCATACGGTGTGCAAAAGCGTGCAGCTTCATTCTTTAGCATGTGGATGGCCACTTATTTAGCACCATTTGTTTCAAACACAATTTCTCTCCCTTCTAATGCTCTCGGAACTTTTAGTGCCTTCACTGTCGTCCATCGTGGACTCTTAACCCTCTGGAACCGGAGCCCAATTAAATGCTTACTTTTATAAGTTGCCATGGTCACAGTGTTTTATCATAGCAATAGAAAAGTAGCATACAGAGACTTATGTTAAAAGTCATAGACAGATAGAAGTTAGATTAAAGCCGATAAACAGACAATGTCCTGTATTATTGGTATTTTTATCATTGCTACTCTGAATCACCAGAGTACTTTATAAAATGATTGTACATTTCCCCAGGGAAGAGCACAACAATTAATTATCCACTATCAAATGGTCAGCCCTAAAAACATACATTCGAGTAACATTATACAGACTGAATAGGTTGTATTTTTTATTGATTTTGTTGAACTATGCATTTTTCTCTGCTCCCTTTACTTCTCCCCTCCCCTGCAACCCTCTCCAAGGTCCCCATGCTCCCAATTTACTCAGGAGATCTTGTCTTTTACTACTTCCCATGTAGATTAGATCCATGTATGTCTCTCTTAGGGTTCTCATTGTTGTCTAGGTTCTCTAAGGGATTGTGATTTGTGGGCTGGGTTTTTTTCTATTTATGTTTAAAAACCACTTAGGAGTGAGTACATGTGATAATTGTCTTTCTGTGTCTGAGTTACCTCACCCAAAATGATGTTTTCTAGATCCATCCATTTGCCTGCAAAATTCAAGCTGTCATTATTTTTTTCTGCTGTGTAGTACTCCATTGTGTAAACGTGGCACACTTTCCTTATCCATTCTTCAGTCGAGGGGCATTTAGGTTATTTCCTGGTTCTGGCTATGACAAACAAAGCTGCTATGAACATAGTTGAGCACATGTCCTTGTGGCACGATTGAGCATCCTTTGGGTATATACCCAAAAGTGGTATTACTGGGTCTTGAGGAAGGTTGTTTCCTAATTTTCTGAGAAATTGCCACACTGATATCCAAAGGGGCTGTACCAGCTTGCATTCCCACCAGCAATGCAGAAGTGTTCCCTTTTCCCCACAACCTCTCCAGCATAAGTTGTCATCAGTGTTTTTGATCTTGGTCATTCTTACAGGCGTAAGATGGAATCTCAGAGTTGTTTTGATTTGCATTTCTCTTATGACTAAGGATGTTGAACATTTCCTTAAGGGTCTCTCAGCCATTTTAGGTTCCTGTGTTGAGAGTTCTAGAGCAGGTTGTATTTTATATTTAGAATACATATATGTATATGATGACAATTAAAAAGAGGCCACCAATTTGAAAAGGAAGCAAAGAGGGACATATGGGAGGCTTTGAAAGGAGAAAATGGAAGGGGGGAATGAAGTAATTATACTATAATCTCAACAAATAAATGAAATAATTTTAAATGTTTATACAATGTTACAACCCTGCAAGCTGTAGTCACATCGTTACTTTGGCTTTCTCGTTTTATAGAGTATTTACTATTCTCTTTGCTATATGTTAGAGCGTGCAGGTTTTCAATTTAAAATATAACTGTTATGATACTTGATCATAGGGGCAGTGATCACTTTGGATTTACTTTTTTTCTTCTCCCAAGTCACCTGCAGCCTGTATTGCTGCAAGTAGTGGATCCTTTTTTACTGTGGATGGTCAACAGACATCTAAAGATAGTCGTCAAGGTCAATGGCAACGGCGGAGAAGACTAGATGGAGCACTAAATAGAGTACCAATCGGATTTTATCAAAAAGTATGGAAAATTTTGCAAAAAGTGAGTGTAACACAGTGTTGTTCTTTATTCCCCTCTTAAAATCATGAATCTGTCTTGCTGACATGTGGCATAACCATTACATGACAAAAACAGGAAAAATTGATTGATCACTGTGGCATTATTAATAATTTACTCTATTGTTCTTATTGTTGCAGTAGTATTTTTTCTTTTTCTTTTGTTTTCTTTCCCCTTTCTGGTATTTTTGAGACAGGGCTTTTCTGTAGCTTTAGAACCTGTCCTGGAACTACCTCTTGTAGACCAGGCTGACCTCAAACTCACAGAAATTCACCTGTCTCTGCCTCCCGAGTGCTGGGATTAAAGGTATGAGTCACCATCACCTGGGGGTATTGTTTCTGAATAAGGTTTTAAAAATCAGAACCTCTCTGTTTGGGGTCATAGTTGAGCACTGTGAGATTTTGCACTGTATTTGCTGCCAGTCAATAATGTGATGCTGTGGCTCGCTTTCTTTGTTGTTATTATGAGAGTGGAAATGTTATTTGCAGCTCTAAGCTGTTCATATCCATTGTCACTACCAAAAGTAGGTGGAAGCAAGAATGGTGGCACACGCCTTTAGTCCCAATACTCCGGAGGCAGAGGCAAGTTGATCTTCGAGAAATCCTGTCTCGACAAGGAAAACAACAAACAAACAAAACAGTGAAGTATATGGGGAGTTTGCAGAAGTTGCTCTTACTGATATTTTTTCTTAGATGAAAACCACTAAAGTAATAAAAAGCTGCAATGATACTAGCAGTTAAAGAACACTCTTGTTTTATTGTTAATTTTTTATATTTAATCATTTTATATATGTGTGTGTATACACACACATACATACATACATGCATTCATGTGTGTGTGCATATGTGGTACCAACAGAGGACAGAAGATGTCATTGGGTCCTTTGGAACTAGACTTAGAGGAAGTTGGTTGTGAGCCATCATGTGGGTACTGGAGACTGAACTTGAGTCTTCTGCAAAAGTAGTAAGTGCTCTTAACCTTTGAGCCAACTCTCCAGCTCTGATTTATTTATTTGGAGACAGGGCTTTGTTATTGTCCAGGCTGGCCTCCAAATCAAGATCCTCCCACCTTAGCTTCCTGGAGTCCTAGGATTGCTGGCATGCACCACCACTCCAGGCCTAAATAAAACTCTTGGTGTGATTAATATTTGTTCCTGTTTCTAAAGCATACTTTATAAACGACTTGTAAGGGCATATCACGTCATTATGGTAGTGATAGGAGACGGCCAGGAAGACCATTAAGTTCATTGATTGGTCTCATTTATACAAATACAGATTGGTTTTTCTCGTCTGAGATGAGTCTCATATATCTCAGGCTGGTCTCATTGTAACCAAGGATGACCTTGAACAGATGCCCTGCCTTTACCTTCTGACTGCTGGGATTACAGTTGTGAACTACCATACTCATTCATTCATTCATTTATTTATTTTACCAAAATCAAAACCCAGACTTAGGGTCTTTTTTTTTTAAGTTTATTTATTTATTTAGTATACAGTGTTCTGTCTACATGTATGCCTGCAGGCCAGAAGAGGGCACTAGATCTCATTATGGATGGTTGTGAGCCATCATGTGGTTGCTGGGAATTGAACTCAGGTCCTCTGGAAGAGCAGTCAGTGCTCTTAACCACTCTCTCCAGCCCCCCAGACTTAGGGTCTTAAAGTAAGAGATAGAACACATGCCTTTCCAGGCATGAATGTTACAATAATTCTAACATGTTTCAAAGCTACTAATTGTCTGTACAGAGATTACTTGAGTATGGAATATTGCATGTAATTGTCCAAAAGAGCCAATAAACCTGTCACTCATATGTGGTTGCTTTATATAGTGTTTCGGCATTTTTGGAATTTAAAGTATGTGATTAATAGAGTAAAGAATTTGAATGTATCTGTTGATTCAGGTATGGTGCTTCACACACGTACTTGAAGGCACTAGGGAAATGAAGGCAGGACTTCAGTGTTCAAGGTCAACCTCAGCCACATAGTGAATTTGAGACAGATTAGGTGACTTGTAACCACGTCTCAAATAATAATAATGATGATAATAGCATTTATTGAGCACCTACTGAATTCCAGACTCTGTTGTAGGTGTTCCTATGAGAAAAGTCTAAATAGCCAATAATTTCTGTTCTTGTGAAACTTATATTACTTATAATAAGTAATAAACAGTAAATAATGTATTTAAAATGTTAAAAAGTGGCGGAAGAATAGGACAGGATAAGAGCATTAAGAAGGGACTCAACTACAACAAGTAGAAATGGCTCACGTACATTAATATCTACTGTGAGTCATGTCCGGCAGCCTCAGTCTCTTGAAGGCCTATCTGCTTTCTTAAAAGTGTGTGTGTGTGTGTGTGTGTGTGTGTGTGTGTGTGTGTGTACATGATCGTGCATGTGCGTACGCACACTATGGTAGGAAGCACATACCATAGCATACATGTGAAGGTCAGAGTACAACTTTGTGGAGTAGGTTCTCCCTTTCCTCCCTTGCTTGGGATTATGGGAGTAATCTCTTTTTATTGGACTTGCTTGGCTGTTGGCAAGGACTTTTTATCTGTCAAGTCATCTTGCCAGGCCTTGAAGGCCTCCTGGTAATGACTCTGGGACCTGCATGATACTCTTCTAGGTGGTCTCTGAATCTGGTGTCTAGTCTATCCCAGAAAGATTGACCCTGCCCACTCCACTACCCTAAGAAGAGGATGAACTATGGTAGTCCCATCCTAAATCTTGGCACTTAGAAATCATGAACCCATTCTTGGGCACATGGACTACAGGACCTCCAGCTGGCCTGTGGTTGCTCAAATCATAACCTTATTAATATGAAGTCTCTCCTTCTTGCCTCCCAGCTCTTACTTCATCTCTGGTCATAACATGTTTTTCTACCTTGCAGTGTCATGGACTTTCTGTGGAAGGTTTTGTTCTTCCTTCTTCAACCACAAGGGAGGTAAGATTCTGTCCTTTACATATACATGATGGAAAGCTCGCCTGTCTGAAATATTTCAGTTATCAATTATGAAATTGATATTTATTGAATTTATATTATTGAAACTAAATATATCAGTTAGTTGTCAAAGAAACAGACTTATCCTTTTATGAATCAATTATAGTGGTATATTATTTGTGTTTTAATAAATAAAGCTTGCCTGAAGATCAGAGGGCAAAGCAGTCATACTAGTGAGCCATACAGGCCAGGCAGTAGTGGCGCACACTTTTAATCCCAGGACTTGGGAGATAGACACAGGGATCTCTGTGTCAAGGTCACCCTGGGCTATATGAGATTGAATCTATCTAAAAGAGAAACAGAGCTCACACAGCATTTGGGATCGCACACCTTTAATCCCAGCACTAAGGGGGTGGAGAAAGGAGCAATATGGCTGGGCAGAGAGAGGAATATAAAGGGGAAGACACAGGAACTCAGTGGAGTCTGAGCATTGTGGTCTAGAGCACTGCAGGATCACCCCTTTGTCTGAGCCTTGGTAGAGGTAAGATCTCTCTAGTGGCTGGCTGCTTTGCTTTTCTGATCTTCAGCTTGAATCCCAGTATCTGTTTCTGGGTTACTACTCATGCTGCAGTCAATTGACTATAAAATGCATGAAGGAGGTAAAAATGGAATGGGAATATTAGACAATAATAATATGGTTCTAGTTTTGCTGAGCGAGCATGAGGACTTGAGTTTGCATCCCCAGCACCCATGTAAAATAAAAATGGGCATGGCTGTGCAAGCCTGTAATGCCAACTCAGATGTAGTGACAGGTGCATTGCAGGTGCTTGCTGGCCAGTTAGTCTAGCTGAAATGGAATACTCCAGGTTCAGTGAGAGACCCTGCCTCAAAAAAAAAGATGGAAAACAATTAAGAAAAGCATCTCATGTCAGCTTCTGGCTTCCACATTTACCCACCTACATACATGTATATAACAGACACATACACACCATAAACATGGATAATTATTTGTTTTATTAATAAGAATAGCTTTTTGCAGTGACTAAGTTTTTTCTACGTGAGACTGGAAGTTGGAGAAGGCAAAAAGGCTACAAACATAAGAATGAATGGCTTCCTATATTGTCTCATCTATTTCACCCCAACCTTTCTCCAATAGGATACTTGTAGACCTGTGCTGATATTGACATCTAATCATATTTTAGAGCAGTGGTTCTCAACCTTCCTAATGCTACCACCCTTTAATACAGTTCCTCATGTTGTGGTGACCCCCAACCATAAAATCATTTTTGTTGCTATTTCATAATTGTTATTTTGTTAGTTATGAATTATAATGTAAATATCTGTTATGTGACCCCTGTAGTAGACTTTCTTGGACTGCCAGCCCCCAAGTCATGGCATGGAGACTTATTATTAAGTATGAATGCTAAAGCCTTAGTTTATGCTTGTCCCACTAGCTCTTGTAATAACCTGTTTCTCTTCATCTGTGTTTTGCCTCAGGGCTTTTTACCTTTCTTTCATTCTGTATGCCCTACTTTCCATGCTTCTGCATCTGGCTGGCTGGTGATGTCTGACTGGGTGGCCCTGATGTCTCCCTCTCTTTCTCCATAATTCTCATTCTTTCCCTACTTTCCTCTCCCTCCTCTATCCTCCCTCTCCCTCTTCTTTCCTCCTCCATCTCCGTCCTCCCACTCCCTCCTCCCTCTCCCGTCTCCATCCTCCCTCTCCTTCTTTCCTCCTCCGTCTCCGTCCTCCCACTCCCTCCTCCCTCTCCCTTCTCCATCCTCCCTCTCCCTCTCCTTCTTCCCTCCTCCGTCTCCGTCCTCCCACTCCCTCCTCCCTCTCTCTCTTTCCTCCTTTCTCTTCCTCCTCTCTCTCCCTCTCCAGCCTAGATCTCTCCTCCTACTTATTCTCTCTGCCTGCCAGTCCTGTCTGTCTCTCTTCTGCCTAGCTATTGACTGTTCAGCTTTTTATTAGACCAATCAGATGCCTTGGGCAGGCAAAGCAATACATCTTTACACTGTTAAATGCAGCATAAACAAATATAACACACCTTCACATAGTTAAAGTAATATTCCACAACAGAGCCCTCCCCAAGGTCACTACCCACAGGTTGAGAACCTCTGTATTAGAGTAACTTTCTTTCCCAACTTAGTGAATTAGAGTTTCCAGAGAGGAAACTTGAGCATTTGTAATTTTTTAATCTATAGACTAACACTGATAAATAATCATGGTTGGAAGACATTGCCATGAAACACAGACACTGGTTATCAGATGTTTTGGTATTTTGTACTAACAAGCTAGGACTAGTAAGTTTAGAAAATATAAAATTCTCAAAAACTGGTGGTGGTGCCAGTATCAGCTGGATGTGCCAGGACTGAATGCTAGTGTAATGTCTTAGACCTCTACTGTTGCATACAAGCCGTTTGTGTAATAAAGAATGCCACACTGCCTGCGTAAACAGGTGTATTCTGTGCATTTAAACAGTGTTGAAATATTAATTGTAAAAATGTAAACCTAATACCTTTAGGAGTCTTCAAAGAACTTTCACATTATTTAATTTGATTTTTCAGTTCAATTTTGTAAGACACCTAAGAAGAGAATGTCTTTCTCAGAAAGTTTATAGATAAGGAAACAAGCTTAGAGATTTCCAAGATATGCAAAGTCATTTGCTCCTGATACAAGTTTTTAACCTGTCTTTAGACTCCAAATATACTTGCTTCTATAGAATATAAACAATACAATTTTACCAAAAAGCATTTCTCCATCTACTTTACCCCAAAATAACTGCAGTTAAAATTTTTTAAATTTTTAAAATGTGCATGAGGGTTTTGCCTGCATGTAGGTATGTGCACCACATGCATGCCTGGTCCCTGTGGAAGTCAGATGGAGTTGTAAGCCACCTGAAATGGTTGATGGAATTGAACTCAGGCTCTCTGGAAGAGCAATCAGTGCTCTCTTAACCACTGAGTCATCTCTCCAGCCCCATAACTGCATTTCTTAAGGTCCGTTTTATTCTAACAGTCTGTAGCTACTTCACATAATTCTACTCATTATACACACACACACACACACACACACACACACATATCATTTCAAGTTTGACTTCAGTGCTTTCTCTCTGGGTCATAGATTTAGTGTCATAAATAGCTTCATAAAGCCTCATGAAGTTACTATAGTATGTCATAATTTATGTATTTATTGCCATGTTTAGGTTATGTCAAGTTTCACATGTGTGACTGATGCTACCATAAACATTAGTACACATGGAGCTTTTTCTTCTCTGGATTATTTCCTTAGGACAAACTCCCATAAATGATATTCTGGGTTAGAGGGCATTGATACTTTTTTTTGGCATTGATACTTTTATGACTCTTGTTATACATTACCAGATTGTGCCAATTTACACCATTTCATTAAAGGGCTGCAGTTACCCGGACTTTTTACTGCTTTTCAAAGAAAAGGTTTTCTAGAAATTGATTTTCACTTTTTCTATCACAGATGACCCCAGGCGAGATTAAATTCTCTGTCCATGTGGAGTCTGTCCTGAATCGTGTACCTCAACCAGAGTACCGCCAGCTTCTGGTTGAAGCTATCCTTGTCCTTACCATGCTGGCAGATATTGAAATTCATAGCATCGGAAGCATCATTGCTGTGGAAAAAATAGTACACATTGCCAATGACTTGTTCCTTCAAGAACAGGTAGGCTGCCTAATGTGATGCACACTGCAGTCACAGCATCTGGGAGTTGCAGGCAGGAGGATTGGCAGTTCAAGGCCAGCCTCAGCTACATAGTGAGTTCAAGACAAGATTGGGCTACATGATACCCAGAACATACAACAAATGTTTCCTTCTCTTACCCACTGTGAAAGAAGACAAAAGTATCCAAAATTTTCTAAACAGTCCTAGTTTTAAGTGTTCTGGGATGTTATCAGGCCATATATGAGAAAATATAAACCATTTTAGACATAGACTTGAGATTTAGAATGTCTACAGTGTTTGTGAATTCAGGTGGTTTAGAAAGAAATAGAACCAAATACTATATGGAGGAATACAAGCCAAAATCAGCAGTACTAGAAGGTGGAAGTCCCGGTGTAGTTCTACTGGGTTATCTCCAAGTGTTAACATTATTTCTGTTATTAACAGACATAAATCATTTAATCAATTATTGATATTTAATTTTCAAAAGTGCTTTATAATAGAAAATTCTAAGTAGTAATTAAAATAATTTAGAGTCTAGTGGCAAATGCCATGTGTAGAAATTCATATCCATCCTTCATAACCCTAAGCCCCCTCTGCTTATACAGCCAAAGAATAGGCAATGGGAAGGAAGCTCTGAGGTGTATTCATCAGAGTTTGGCTTGGTAGGATTGGTAACCTTTTCTTCCCACTGTTTTCCCATCTTTTAAAACCAAATAGAAAACCCTTGGCGCAGATGACGTCATGTTGGCAAAGGATCCTGCATCTGGCATCTGTACTCTTCTGTATGACAGCGCACCCAGTGGCAGATTTGGCACAATGACCTACCTCTCCAAGGCAGCTGCTACCTACGTGCAGGAGTTTCTGCCACACAGCCTCTGTGCCATGCAGTGAGGGCTGTGGGTTCTGGCTGCTGGAATCCTTTCAGCATCTGGTCCCTGTGTTGGTTGATTGTGCATGGAACTGAAATGTTAACACCTGACCACTCTCCATCCCTCCCAAGAAGAGAGAACTTTGCTGATAATCTCACTACTTTTGAAGAAAAGAACCCTCACTTGGAGACTCACTCCAGTGTAAAGGTTCAACTGGGTCTACAATCACTATCCTTGCTTCTTTTATGGTTCAGAAATGTCTGCATGTGTTTTTACTCTGTAGAACTGTTACCAGCTTTGTTTTCTAACTCCTTTTGAGGAACAGGTATTAATAAGTTATTCTGAAGACCTTATTCTTATTTCTGGGCTTCCTTTCTTTTTTGTGTATATGAGTGGTAGGTCTTAATTGGGTCATTATTTCAAGAGAGTAGATGCTAAATTGTTGGATTTTATACTGCTGTAATTTTGAAATGTCTATTTTAAGTGCCTTAAGAAACACCAACACCAGATCATGGCTTCCTTCTTCACTCGAAGGCTGATTCATTTTGAGTGGTGAAATAGTTTCTTTGTCAAATATTGCCTTTTGATGTTGACCTTTCTATATCTGCCCATGTTGCCTGCTCTGTGGTGAAATATTAAAAAGTGTAAGCTCACATGTAAGTTTAAGGATTTCTATGTTAATACTTGAAGTCACATTTTATGAGGACTGATGCTACCAGGCACATATTTGAGGACACATGGAATAACCCAGAAAAAAATGGAGCCAGGAGCCCAATTCCAGAGAGGAAGGGAAAGGGGAGGTTATGCAGGTGGTGCTTTACACACAGGGAGTCAAGAGACCACCAGAGGCAAGTAGGTTAATCCTTGCTGGAGCACAGCCCACATACAACACAGAGAATAACTGAAGCCTTGAGCAAAGAGAAACCCAGCAGTCCAGTCGGAGCACCTCTTTCCTGTTCTTTTGTTCTCCACCTCACCTATTCACACCCCCGCCACACTCAAATCTCTCCTTCTCATCTCCCTCCTATCCCATATCTGTTCTTCAATTCTTTCACCTATGTTTGTTTTCACTTCTCAGTTATACTACTTATATCCTTTAATCTTGGTATCTGTGGCCAAATATCTATTCTTATACATATTTCTGTGTGTTTGTAATGGTTAAATAATTGTATTTTGAGTGTGTCTGTCCATCTCTACATTTAATGGATTGAATAACCATGTGGGTAACATTGCAAACCAAGCCTGGTCATACTCATTGCTAATCTGAGAACTTGAGAGGCTGAAGCAGGAGGATCGTGAGTTCAAAGCCAGCCTGGGCTACAAAGCAAGCTCCAGGCAAGCCTCAGTATGAGACCCTGTCTTGAAACATTTTAAAGCATGGGAGCTATGCAGCTGGCCTCAGATTGACACACAAAGGATCGCAAAAATATACCTTCCATCCCATTCTCTGGTCCCATGTATAGGTAGCCTGGCTTAGCAGAGGTTTTCTTTGTTTTCCTTGTTTCTACTCGACTCCTCTTTCCCTCAGAGTTTTAAGGGTTTTCTCCCAGAACAGTAATGAGTATGATGGGGCTAGTGAACTCAAAACAGTCACAGAATCGGGAACAGTCTTCCAGGCACACTGTCCAAATGCAGTGAGCTAGCAAACGGGTGGTAGAAGCAAAGGCAGGGTGGCCCCCTTTCCCCTCTCACAGCCATGGGAACACACAGTGAATAGCTTTCTGAGTGCATGGTTTTCCGGTCACTTTTGAGGAGAACATACAACCTGTTTGTCTCTTCACAGCCTATAAGTACCCTAGTCACGGGAAACACACCCAGCACTGCTTGTGGGAACTGCCGCTCCTTCCTGGACCTCTTTTCTTGAACTGACTCCAATGCCTGCAGTTCTCTGGAGTTTCTGACTTGTCTGTTGATGGAAAGCCCAGGCAGTGGCATTTAATTTCTAAAGTAACTTTCCAGAAAACATTACTGGTATTTTGTTCTTTTTTTCTTTTGTTCTTATTTTTTCGAGACAGGGTTTTTCTATGTAGCTCTTCATGTCCTGGGAACTCACTCTGTAGACCAGGCTGGTCTCGAACTCACAGAGATCCGCCTGCCTCTGCCTCCCGAGTGCTGGGATTAAAGGCGTGCGCCACCACTACCTGGCTAAGTATTTTGTTCATTTTAAGAGTGTTAATATGAAGAAAGAAACATGATGGAACTTTTTACAAGCACTTTATGTTTTGAAGTTAGAATAAAGAATAAGAATTTACTGTGTCTGGTGTCACTGCACAAAACTTTATATGTTTTTGTGATTGAAGCTAATTAATTGCCATTTCACATAATGTTTGGATATATTATATACTCAAAGCTTATTAACTGGGTCAAATTAGAGGAGCATTTATAGACCATACATTATTATACCGCACATATGTAAAAAAAAAAAAAACAACATAGGTTTAGTGCTTTACACAGTTTACTAAAAATATAGAGTGGATTTTTTACTTCATTTCAACTCTATGAGTGGTATTTCTAAACTACTAGAAAGAACTTAAAATAGTTTGTTCTTCTAACTATTATCAGTATTTGACATAATATTGTTTAAAGTACTCATTGGTCATTTCTGTAACAAGAGAGTTCTTAATCCCAGCAATGGCAAACAGCGTCTCTACGTCCCCTGATTAGATAGTTTAGTTTTACCACATTCTGAGAATTTGATGCAACTAGCATGGCAAAAGTTGTCACCTTTAGTCATGGTTCACAGAACTGTGTGCATGTGTATGTATATGTGTCTGCATGTCAGGTGCATGTGTATTATCATGCTGGTGTATGTGTATCATGCTGGTGCATGTGTATCATGTCAGGTGCATGTGTATCATGCTGGTGCATGTGAATCATGTCAGGTGCATGTGTATCATGCCGGTGCATGTATATCATGCCTGTGTATGTGTATCATGCCAGTTCATGTGTATCATGCTGGTGCATGTGTATCATGCTGGTGCATGTGTATCATGTCAGGTGCGTGTGTATCATGTCAGGTGCATGTGTATCATGCTGGTGCGTGTATATCAAGTCAGGTGCGTGTGTATCATGTCAGGTGCATGTGTATCATGCTGGTGCGTGTATATCAAGTCAGGTGCGTGTGTATCATGTCAGGTGCGTATCATGCTGGTGCATATGTATCATGTCAGGTGCATGTGTATCATGTCAGGTGCATGTGTATCATGTCGGGTGCATGTGTATCATGTCAAGTGCATGTGTATCATGTCAGGTGCATGTGTATC